TTACTTACTTACTTACTACTTACTTACTTACTTATTACTTACTTACTTACTTACTTACTTACTTACTACTTACTTACTTACTTACTTACTTACTTACTTACTTACTTACTTACTTACTTACTTACTTACTTACTTACTTACTTACTTACTTACTACTTACTACTTACTTACTTACTTACTTACTTACTTACTTACTTACTTACTTACTACTTACTTACTTACTTACTACTTACTTACTTACTTACTTACTTACTTACTTACTTACTTACTTACTTACTTACTTACTTACTTACTTACTTACTTACTTACTTACTTACTTACTACTTACTTACTTACTTACTTACTTACTTACTTACTTACTTACTTACTTTACTTACTTACTACTTACTTACTTACTTACTTACTTACTTACTTACTTACTTACTTACTTACTTACTACTTACTTACTTACTTACTTACTTACTTACTTACTTACTTACTTACTTACTTACTTACTTACTTACTTACTTACTTACTTACTTACTTACTTACTTACTTACTTACTTACTACTTACTTACTTACTTACTTACTACTTACTTACTACTTATTACTTACTTACTTACTACTTACTTACTTACTTACTTACTTACTTACTTACTTACTTACTTACTTACTTACTTACTTACTTACTTACTTACTTACTTACTTACTTACTTACTTACTTTCTTTCTTTCTTTCTTTCTTTCTTTCTTTCTTTCTTTCTTTCTTTCGGTATTGAACCCACAACCTCTCGCTCCGCAACAAGGTGTTCATGCCATAACCATTGCTCCAACCGTACACCTGACAACCTTCGCACTGGAACTCATACATATACATTGCTACACATATAAATCGCAAAAACCTAGAATACTTCCTCCGTTTCTGCCTTCCTTCTATTGATAATTTCGACATTTCACTACTAAATACTTTCATTTCTTTTACCTGACCTCCTCTCTGCAGAATCCTGGACTTACCCCCTCACAGACTCCTCCTACGACAGCTTGGAAAACGAATTGGACGAAAGAAGCAGCGCTTCTCCAGGTTCTTTCACAAGACGTGTCAGAAAAAACAGCCTGGAGTCCATCTTAACATTCAGTGACCAGGAAGCACAACCTTCTTGCACCTCGCCCTCCATGGACCCTCAGCGTTCACAAAGGCGCCGTTCTGAGCCTGCTATAGCGTACACTACCACCTTCTCTTCCTATATACCTGCTGCGGATGACAACCTGGGTGACACTTCAATAACAGATGGAACCATGACAAATCTATCATCTCAACATCCCACCAACTTAAACCTCACCACAGTCATACATCCACACACTGTGTCTCCTACAGAGCCTCTCCAGAAGGGGGCGCTTAAAGGCTACATTGGCCTCCACCCTAACTCCTGGCTGAAAAAGGAAAGGAGGCTTTCGCTGACTAAGCAACAAAGTTTGGAAGAGGAGGACAGGCGATTGGTGAGGAACAACTACCCATCCCTGTCTTGCGCCTCGTTTCCACAAAATCACATGAACCTCATCATGTTTCAGGTGGCTTTACAGATATCTCACTTCATCAAAGTATTGTACATATGTGGGATGCCTGTAAACTTCCCACATGTTCACAATACTTAACTAAAATATCCATAATGCCACTTCAAACATGATGACGTTCACATGTGCTGATTTAAAGGAAACAAGCCTCAAAAAACAGCTACAAAAACTGTCCTAATAAATTCTGTTTGGATTTACTAAACATGACTGTTTGATTGACTCCTGACAAAGCAGAAACACAGGATAACATGCCAGATGATCTTTAAATAGAATTAGAAAATGCTACAAAAACATACCTACCTGCCTAAACTCAAATAAACAATGATAATATTAAGGTTTACATGAACACAAACATGGAGCAAATAAGTTACATGTACAATCCCTGATGCTACAAGAAATTCATTACAACACAGACATTTTTCTACAGGTACAAACTTCCAACAATGCTAGCAGCTCTGCTTTATTCTGTTTTCTCTGTAACAAATTGGAAATACAAAATAAATAAGAACACTGTTATCGATAAAAAGCTACTGAACTGCCTAAAGAAAATACAAAGTTTTCCTTTAAAATTTCACCTGAAAGCCACATCTACACTTACCTGATTTGGCTCACTAAATGGCATGTTCTCCTGTCTTACCTGCTTTGAATAATGAGTAACAGAAACTGCCCTCTGTCTGAATTTACACCTCAGAAAGAAAAAACACAATTACTATTTAAATAAAATAATTATTCTTCTCTACTGTGAAAGATACTTTTATTTGTTACACCTTGAAAGCTTGTGAATGATTAACCTACTTCTGCCTGCAGGGTGGAGCAGCTCAACCCAAATCATCCACCAAAGGCTCAAAGGAGAAAGGAGAAAAAGGGAACATCCAAAACCCACAGCCGGACTCACCCTCCAGCCCGTCCCTGCTCCACCGGAGCACAGGAGGCCTTCGCTTTAAAAAACCCGCCGGGCCGCCAGAATCTTCCCTGACGGTTCAGATGGGCAACATGCTGAGCCACCCTGGAGGAAACGTCAACATAAAGAGGAGCAAAGCACCTTTCTTCTACAGGCCCGGGAGACCGGCTCTCTCCCTGTTCAGAGAACCCAAAAGTCCAACGATGGAGGACGGCAGCAGCAGGCTGACTCAGCGCCGAGGATCAGAACCAGAGCGGCGGATCGCTGATCAGGCCTCCGCCTTCACACGCAGCAGGCTGCCCAGCGACCCGGGTCTGAAGCCGTCCCACGCAGATGAGCCGGCCCGTTTCTGCCTCTCGCCCTGCGCCACCAAGGCAGTGAGAAACTACTTCTCCTCCCACCCGCTCAGCAGTCCTCACAGCAGCCAGGAGGTGGCGCTGGCCCTGGCAGAGAGCCAACAGGAGTGGCTGAAGCGATGCAGTGACCCCACAGTGGAGCCCGATTTGGATCAGCTTCTGTTTGCTGAAGAGTCTTACGTTTGAAATTCACTAACAGCACTTACCGTATTCATTTAAATAAAAATTACAATTAGTCAAATCATCTTCTGCTCACGAGTTAAACACGTTTCAGGTCTTAGTTCTGGTTGCTTAGTGCCTTTCAGTTATAGATTGTGATATCAATGGGTAGATTTCCATATTTATAGACGTTGCTAACTTTACAAATACCTGCTGTAGCCTTCCTTTATCAATAACTGCACCTATAATTGGACTGATAATTTTAGCAGCAAGTTTTTTTTTTGCCAAATTACAACCATAAACTATAAATATTTAAGTTGTTCTTGCATTTAAAGACGATTACGCTGTGTGGATTTAAATGTAGAGTTGAATGCATGTCAGATGAGGTCAACATTATGAAATATTTAAAGACTTTTGCTGTGGATACATGTTCAGTTTGTGACGGCCATTTTTCTTTACATGCTCTAAGTTGCCATTGTTGAAGTTAAAACATTAAATTAACTAAACTAAAAGGAAAACTCTGATTCAGAAACTGCTGGTTAGAAATGTGATTTTTTTTTTTATTTCAGTTTTTATAAATGGTGTGTTCCAGTCCTGTACAGTCTGAAAATACATTGCAATATTAAAGCGATACATGTTGGTTTTTGATATTTTCTCCTACAGATGTCACAATGTTTGGTTTGAGGAGCACCTCTTGGTGATTACAATTATTACGCCAGATTATAAGACATTCAACTAAGCTAGAAAGCAGCTTATAACTCATAAATATAGATGATTATGTACTAGAGAGAAGTTTCTGTCAAATCTCTGGTTACAGTTCGCATTTTACTCTAGAAAAACAGTTTTATAAAAACAAACAGAGAAACTGGATGACGGTTCTGCGGCAGTCTGCGGCGAGGTTGATTTCCACCCACCGTTGTGCGTCTCGGTCTAAGCGGAGCCGTCTTTGCTTTGCCGGATGTCTGCGACGCTCTCTGGGACTCTGGCCACCAGGCCCTCCAGAGACTTGGTGAGACAAATCTGGCAACCCAGACGAGATCTGCAGCAGAGCAATCAATATTCAACTCCCGCTGGTACAACTGCAGCTTCCACATTTCAACAAACAGCGACGAGCTTTGGAGCAAGATTTACACACACTTCCTGTTTTTTTATGCAAAATTTATCATTTTCTTACAATGGAAAAAGTAAAGTTTTAACAAGAGGTATAATTATGTTTATTCAGAAACTTTCACTGAAATGTTCACCCTATTATACTCGACTGATATAGAAAACAGTTTCAAAGAATGTGGTTATTATTACTGAAAACAATAAACCAAAGAAAACATTTTAAAGCCCAGTTCACACTACACAATTTTGCCCTCACGACAATCTTACAACATTCTGATTTCTAAGATTGTCGCTTCCGACAATCGTAACCAATCATCCTGTCGTGATGATTGGGTCCAGTCGGGACCGCTTACAAAGCTACGGTGATTTAAATGTGCTTAGTTAGACCTCATAAAACTGTAAGTAAAACATTATCCTTTTTCAGAGCAGCATGCTATTGGATCGTTGTTGTTTTAATTAAAGACAATTATAAAATTATTGCACAGACTACAATAACTGGTTGAGAAACGCATTCCAATCTTTGGTTGAAATGGTGCATTTGGTTTTATTCTGCAGTCATAATACAATTTTAAACAATACAATAAGTTTCAATTAAAGGAGCTAGAATACGTTAAGCTTTCGCGGTCAGTTGGGATAAAACGTAGAACTACCATCTGATTTTCTAAAAACGAATATGCAGGAAATGCTTCCTTCTACTTTAAGCTGCTCTGATGTTTCAGTCATTCCGTTATATGCATATGTGCTACAACAACATTAACAGCGAAAAATTAACGGTTAACTAAACGACAAAACCGAAAACATTAAAAACAGTATTTTTTATTTAAAAAAGACATAAAACCTCACCTCCATGCTGCGATGCAATAAATATAATCCTCGCTCACGATGTCTCCAGTTCTAAATCCAAAGCTTTTTCGTCTTTTCTGGGTTAACATAAGTCTGCAAACTAAATTTACCACTTCAACGTTGTTGTCCATGTTTGTTTGTTTACTGTAAATTCAGGAGTGAAACCTCACACTCTACGATCGAACCCGTTACACCTACGATTTTAAATCGGTCAGTCTCTCTTTCACGTTTTCGGCCGACTTTTCTAAAATCGTGTAGTGTGAACTGGGCTTAAATGATTTTCTACTAAAATTATAAAAAGTAGAACATTTAAGAAATAATAGACTTAAATTTCTTAGTTTCACACATTGACCATTTTCACCTTTTGAAACTCAGAAACTAAACTAACTTTCACATTTTTTCATACATTTCTGATTTAAACTCTACATAAGAGTTTTTGGTCAGAAATGTAAAGCTTTTTGTTTTAAACTTTATTTTTTATCATTTTTGTAGTTTTCCAAGAACACATACAGACATTAAACAGTTTGACCCCCTGACACAAATTTACAGAGCAACTAGTTTGACAGGAAGTAGTTCAGTGATACTCAACCAAAACAAAAGAAAAAAGAAAAGAAAAGGCAATTACATCAGTTATACATTTGGTGTCAAATGTAAAACTTTTCAATTACATTTAAATACTTTATTTGTTTGATTTCCAACATAAGAGAAACTCCATGTTAAATCCTCACTTTCTAAAGAGTGAATTCTTTTATAGTAACATGACATTTAATATATAAAATAGACCAAAAACAATCAAAATAAATGCTATTAAATTTATGCTTTAATCACCAAATATTGATTCCTGAACTCTTCTTGAACACTTCCTTGAGTTATTGTTGTTTCTAAATGATATAAACTTATTTGAGTTCTGCATCTTTAATATTTGACATGTCAGTAGTTTATAGAATAAGAGAACAAAGTTCATTTTATTTAAATATATACTTGTAAAAGGTTAAATCAGAGAAACTGATCATTTTAAGTGGTTTCTGACTTTTTTCCACAGCTGAAGGTGAATTAATCCACATCAGAAATATAATTGATTCTTGTGCTAAAATGTGTTTGATAAAGTGATGAAATAAAAGATTCCCGTTACGTCTCTGTGCTTCCTTACGTCTCGGTCAGGCCGTAAGCCAAATCCAACATGTCCATCTCCTCGTCTGTGACCGGTCCCAGCTTCTTGTACGCCTCCTCGTCAAAGATCAGGTGACACGTGGAGCAGGCCAGGGTTCCCTCGCACGCTCCTGAAACCCAGAGACCACCTCCTTCATCCCACCGTGACGTCATCAATAGTGATCAGCGGCGTTTTCCTACCAAACCCGTCAAAGTCCAGGTCTTCGTTGATGACGACGTCCAGCAGAGAGTCACCAGGCGAGGCCTTCACTGTGATCTTCTCCCCGTCCCGGTTGATGAAGTGTACCGTCACCTTGCTGTCTGACCTGAGACACAAAATACAATTTCACATAATTATCTAAACGCGTCATATGAAGCTTTTCTTTATTTTACTCAAATGTTGGGTTTATTATGTTGCAAAAACACAAGAAAGACAAAAATAACAGGGAAAACATTTCTAATAAAAACATGGAAAAAACATTTGTTTGTGTGTAAACACACACGTACCAAGCAGAAAGCTAACTATTGCCTTCTTTTTATCAAAATCAGGGAAATAATTTCCAAATTCTTTAGATTGTTTTACACAACATTAGAAATACCATAAAATATTTTAAAACAATTATTCAATTCCTTTTCAAAGTCCGAAAATTTTGATTTTATTCCCTAAAATGTAATAATCCTACACTGTACCAAAGAACACTGACCACTAATCTGTTTAATTTTTTTTTTTTACAGATAGCTGTGTAGCAAAAGGTCCTAAATATGAGATTTTATTTCACACTTTTTGAATTAGGTGAAGCTAAAACTGCCACATATAAAAGGTTCTCCATCTTAAATGTAAAATATGTAGTTTAGATTTAATTACTACTCAGTCGTTTTATCATGAAGTTACCGCTTTTAACATCTGAATACTTTAGTTAATTAGTCAATTACAAACCCATTGAAAATGAGTGCAATAATAGATTAATTGGCTCTAAATCTTGATCAGAACAAACAAATCCTTTAAAACACATTCTTGGACAAAGCAAGTGTGCTGCACCAAACATGTCGTTTCTTCTGCAACCAGCAGAATTACATAAATATTGAACCTTTTTGGAGGAAGCTAAAAGCTCAAGAAAAAGTAAAAGGACTGAACCCAACCAAGGTAACAAGCATCAAATCACTGCAAAGAGGAACAAAAGCTGAGCAACAAGTCCCCAATTAGTATAACTGCATTTAAATAATTAAGCAGGGCATCTGAAGGACCTACAGATCAGAAACAGAGAGGAGACTCTCCATACAGTTTCTCAGGTTTATTTCGTTCACATTTGCCTGAATTTAGATTTCAGCTAAATGCAAAAAATAAATAAATAAATAAATAAATAAATAAAACGTTTTGGCCATTGTTTTAGCTCAATATTTAAATACTTTTCTAAACTAAATTGGTCGAGCTCAAATAGTCATATTTGTACATACTTCTTACGTTAACTCACGCTTGAGTTAGCGTGAGTTAACTCAAATTAGCTCGCGCACCTGTATTCAATTCAATTAATTAACCTTCGAAAAATGAACCTTCTTTGCAAAATGCTTTTCTTTGACACTCATTTATTTGCAATTACTTATCACACTGAATAAACACAACATAGTTACACAAACTTCTGCTAGTGTGGGGGAAATTTGTCCCAGTTTTACCTGCCAGACACTGAGAAGGGCAAATTAACCTCCGAACGTGCGTTCCGTTACCGACAGCGACGTCGCGAAACAGACTATTTTAATGTTAAAAAAAAAAAACTGTTTAAAAATGACATTATGCCTCTTTCTCAAACATTCTCACAGTTTGACTAAATTTTCAGAAAACATTTTTTAATTTTCAGTCGACCACTAACCTGTCAAAATGCTGAAAAAGCGCAGCGGTAATTAACACATCGAGTAGCACCAGCCGTCCGTTTTGCGTATGACGTAAGGACGTCTGACGTAAGGAGCGTAGCGCATCACCTACTCCAGTCAAGCGGAACACTCATCCACCAACAAAGGTTCCGTAGAAAAAATGCAGGAATTTATCGGTTTGTTCCGTCCGAGCATTTAAAATAATTCGTAAAATCTATCAGAAATGATAGAAAATTACGACATTTTTGCTAATCATAAAAAATGGTCACAAAATTAATTTAACAGTTTTTATATTACAATTAGGCAATGCAAAAAATATTCTTGTCAAGACATTTAAATCTCAAATTGTTATTTGGCACAAATAATTTTGTTTGCATGAAGTCAACTGGCTGCCATTTTAGTTACACATGTGGATAAGTGGATTTTACCAAAAATACACTCCTGTGCAACGTTTATTAATAATCGTCAACTCATTTAATCATAAATTGGTTATTTGCTGAAAAGAACCTCAACATAGTCAGTGCAATAGTTAATTAAAAATAGCACAAAAACCAACATATTTCACATTAAAGATAAAAAAACAATTATTCTGGAAAAGTTGCCACTTTCTACAGATTTTTATTTAACAACTTACAATATTAGAAATACATAAAAATTACAATTATTTTTATGTTAAAATATAA